CACTTTTACCTACACAGGAATAGCTGACAAACATGACTATCCAGTCTGTTATTAGTTCAGTTTCATTTTTCAATTGGGTCTATCCTGTCAATATGAGATCAGTGGATAGTCTCTATAAAAAATGAAGCCAATAGACAAATTTGGGTAACGCTGTTTAGATCGTTGCTACCCAATTCACAGCTTTGGATAACTCACATGCCTAGTTACTATTGTTCTAGTTTACAGAAGCATAAACTGAATAGAACAAAAGTAACTAAACATTAAACTTATGTATTATCACTTTATATTTACTGAGATCGAGGCCGAGGGAAACAGTGTGTTTTGTGGACCAGAGCCACTTATAGATAGTATATAAGTGTTAAAGTATGAATAATTCACCGATTATTAGTAGAGTGAACTTAGTGGCAGATCAACGCAGGGGCGCTGGAGCCACGGGGGCAACTACCCCCGTTGCCGAAACAGTGCGGGGCGGCACGGGGGCAACAGCTTGCCCTTTTTCACCAGAACCGCGCTTCGAAATTTGTGCGTTATTAACATGAATTGGAATTTATAACTATTTTAAGCAATCTTTGCTTAATTTTAACCAGTTGTAGTAAAATTAATGCCAGTGGCCGCGGAATTACTTTTGTATAATTGTGATTTTTGAAAATATGGAGTTCCTATAAAGTCGGAAATGACCTTTACAGAGTCTTTACTACTACAAAAAGGCATTTCCTTTCTAGCCCCCCCAAAAGACATTTTTTCACTTTTAAAATGTGGTGAGGCACATGCCCCATTGTCCCCGGTTCCGCGGCCCTGATTAATGCTAAACCAGGCAATATACGTCTGTTTACTGATTTTATCAGCGCCCTTAACATGGTGCAACGAATAAAATTGTTCAAAATTAATGTCGAAGTTTGCCGACCCACAATAGCCACAAGTAATCGAGTATCCATACAATAAAGTTTTAACAAATATTTCCGCCCAGAAAATGATTGCTTAGAAGCAAGTGCCCTTTTGAAATGGCTGCCCCGCCGCTTCACATTGCTTCCGGCGCCCCTGGATCAAGGACATAATCAGGAGATTATGCAGCCTAGTCCCAGTCGTTCTGAAGCAACCGCGAGAAAAAGCGTAGATGTTGTACGAGACTAAGACCTACAATCCTGGCAAAAATTATTGTGGACACCGCGTGCGTCAAACAAAAATAGAAGTATTTCTACAAAATTAATCCCCAGAAAATTTCTCCCCCCTCCTACCCCCAATTCAATGTTGGTAAATGAAACTTTAAAATTTAAATGCGAGAAACAACATTGAATAGGGGGCAGGGGGCGACAAGCTTCATAAAAGAACGTCTCAATGTTAATATTAGCGTTAGAAAAGTTAGGAGTCCACATAATTTTTGCCAGGATTGTTTGAAAATAACCTAAAAAACAAATCCATAATTTTCACCTAAAGCAGGCCTTTTACTATACATTTTTGATGTTGCCATTGCTTTAGAATAACAAACAGATTGTTTAAACTAGTTTAAGTTTTTTTAAAGCATATTTGTAATTTTGTGAGTGAGGAGCTATTGGCAATGATATATGCTTTGCCGAGCTAATTATGCAGACGCAGTAAGACGAGTTTTCAACAAAAGCGCTTTATATGCGTATATGCAAATTCACATAAAATATAACAGACTATAAGGTTATTTTAGTATATACACATCCGAAGCGCTCACTATTTTCAGATTTTTTATAACAAACGCAGCCCAACAGCGACTGTATAGAGCGCCTTTAATCTATCAGTGACGTCACACGGTACACGGCTGTGTAGCGTAGTGATAAAAATATTTAAGCTATGTATTCTTTACTCTACGCTACACAGCCGTGTACCGTGTGACGTTACTGTTAAATTAAAGGCGCTCTACAGTCGCTGTTGGGCTGCGTTTGTTATAAAAAATCTGAAAATAGTGAGCGCTTCGGATGCGTATACACTAACATATCGCTATGGTCCGTTATATTTAGTGTGAATTTGGTTATACGCTCACAACCGTGTACCGTATCAATTTACTAAACTTTCAAAATAACATTATTTACACATTTATACAGTTTTATACAGTTATATTGTATGAATACTTGGGAATATGATGCTACGTGCTCCAAACGTACCCATTGCAAAATGTTGCAGGTTAACAAAGGATCTGCATTTTGAAATGCATGTATTACCAACAATGCGAATCATTCACGCTCATGAACTAAACATAGATCTGCTTGGCTGTAAGTTGTGAGGTAAACAAACCTCGCATTTTTTGGCTGGAAATTTTGCACTCAGATTTCACTAAGTACTAAGACATCGTCGTTCTCTACGATGTTCAATAATTTGTCATACGAAGATATTACTTTGCCTTTGTAGAGTTGCAGACTAAGTCGTAATTGTATAAATCCAGATAATACGTAAAAAGCCACTTGACATGTAATGTGATAGGTGACACTTAAGATAGATCGGAAAGTAAAAAAATAAGTATAACCTGATTTACTAATTGTTTTCCCCTTTTGCTAAACAAACAAGCCTATTTTATCATTGGATCAAGCCTTAAATTCACGAAATCGGACGGTTTGGAATATGTGATAATTTCAGACAATCCTGGCAAAAATAATTGTGGACACCGCGTGCGTCAAACAAAAATAGAAGTATTTCTACAGAATTAATCCCCAGAAAATTTCTCCCCCCTCCTACCCCCAATTCAATGTTGGTAAATGAAACTTTAAAATTTAAATGCGAGAAACAACATTGAATAGGGGGCAGGGGGCGACAAGCTTCATAAAAGAACGTCTCAATGTTAATATTAGCGTTAGAAAAGTTAGGTGTCCACATAATTTTTGCCAGGATTGTAGGTGTGACGTCACCGCTAAAGGTGCTTCAGAACGCCTAGCAGATTTCAGTATTTTTAATATGGCGGAAAATTTATACACAGCTATTTCAATTAAGGTTGTCCACGAGCAAAGCGGAAAATTCGAATACGAGCGCGAAAGGCTGCTGAGAATCGCTAACAAATTAATGAATTTTCAAAGCGATTCACAGCAGCCTTTCGCGGTCGTATTCGACTTTTCCGCTTTGCTCGTGGTCAACCTTAATTGAAATAGCTGTATACAAATAAACTTGTAAATACGACAATGTTCGTGGATCATGTTTATTTTTATTGTTTGATGTCTACATAACCAAATTCAAACTGTTTAAAAATGTGCTCAATAAAAAAAATTATATACAAATTTACGATACTGAGTCTGAGCAATGGTCGTATAATCGTTGATGTTATTTATATACACTCGCAAGTTGTGATCAACACTAGACCATACTGATATACACAACTACGCTTTCTACTTGACAGGTTTGAGTAGCTGAGGAGATTGGAAATATTTGCCTGACATGACTGTGTTGTCAAAAGCTTTTTAGTCGGAGACTCGGCATAATTTTCAAGCTTCTAGATAGCATTTAATATGGCTTTATATTTTAGTAAACCCAAGTCATATTTAGCCCGTTATTCCATTCTGACTGTATGGTAGCGAAACGTAGCCTATTTCATTGTTCCGACAGCATTAGAGCAAAACTAATGACTTAATTACAAACGCAAAGGAAATTTCCCTAACATTTTCTATTTACAAATGCGATGTGCTTGGTAACTAGGCCAGGGACCACTTTTTTTAAATCAAGGAGCATTTAACCGAAATCTGCTAGGCTGTCTCGCTGAAGCGTTTCGCACAGCACACCCAGGCATAAAACTTTTAAGACTTATTTAAATATATCAAAGCAGCGAATAGAGAGAGAGCCTGGAACTAGGCTGGAGATTATGGTATTATGTCAATGTATTGACGAAGTTCTTATTATATTACCAATATATTATTTAATAACATTAAAAGATATCAGGATCGTAGACACCAGCAGAATCGTTGTAACTGTACTACTGTATGTATATATTGAAAGTGTATAATTAGTGCAAGTGTATAAAGTTAAGTATAAATGTAAAGTAATTCGAATTCAAGAATGTTCTGTACACGATCGCTTAATTGTATATATTGTAATTATATTTTCACAAAATTGTATATATTCTCTTGAACAAGCTAAAAAGGTTTACTCATGGGTAATAAATCAGCTTATTTTAACTCTTCAATTACTAGTGTCGCTGATCAGCGAACACGCGAATGTAAACAAACAGCTAAAATAGACCCAATTTGGAGATTTATAACTTTTCAGAAAATTGCTTGCAGACGAGTTTTATTCCTGATTACTTAACTTTAGTAGGTATACTTTCAAATTACATGCCTTTTAAACTTCAGATAGGTGCCACTTTTGAGCTATTTTAAGTAAAATATGAGCAATTTTCAGCCTCTCGTCGCCATCTTGAAAACATAGTTTCGTAAAACTATAAAAAAATCGTATTAAGCATATAAAGTTGTTCAATCTCCATGTAAATGAGAGTATTAGTGTTAATATTGCATGTGAACAGTAACTGGAGGGAATAAACGCATCACAACGTTTTTAAAAAATCAGATGAATTCTTGTAAATTTTACATTCATTTCCCCTTCATTTCCCCTTCATTTCCCCTTCATTTCCCCTTCATTTCCGGTCTGAAAATATTCTCGCAAGGTCAAATTTCAACATGGCTATAACTCCTATAAAACAGAAAGTTGAAACGTTCTGAAAGAAGCTCGATTAATATTGACCAAAGTCTAGTTCATATGCAAAATATGAGCTAAATCTATTTTTCCTTCCCCAAACCAGTGGGTGGATTTTACTGAGAGGCCCTCTTAATATTGACTAGAACTGTGATATTGGTACAGCCTAGCTGTCCAGAAAAATAAACATTTGTAGTTTGAAGAATAAGATGGATGAAGTGAAAATAATGCTTGAAACAAACCAATTTGATATACTAGCTGTCTGCGAGACACATCTTAGCAAGAAAATAGGTAACAGACAACTACAAGTTGATGGATATCGAACCATTCGGCGAGATCGTTCCGATGGCAGAGGGGGGGGTGGAATGGTGGTCTTTGTATTGAAAACTCTGACTGCAGTACACTTGAAACATTTGGATCACGAGAAGATAGAAGCTATATGGCTAAGAATAGTAACCAAATCAAGCTCGGTGACAATAGGTTCATTCTATAGACCCCCGGACAATACGGCTTTCTTCGAAGATATAGTAATACCTTTAGAAAAAGCTTGGTACAAATACAAGAACTTAGTTTTGGTGGGGGATTTCAACGTCAATTTCAGCAAAACAGCACATGGACATGAGCTAAGACTACAAGAAAAACTTATGTCTGCGCTTGTTCAATTTGACTGTTCCGTCATAAATAAAGATTTCACAAGGGTAACGCCTACCCCAGAAACAATGATCGACTTGATAATCACAAACAAAGCCGATTTGGTGGAAAATATTAAAACAGCAGACACTGGAATATCCGATCACAATGTAGTATCCTTCTCTATGGATTTTAAGCCAAGAAAGGTGCCTCCCAGGGTAGTAACTATAAGAAACTGCAAGAAAATGGAGATAGAAAAATTCAAGTTGGATCTACAAAATGCTCCATGGTCTACTTGTGAAATGTTCGAAGATGTCGAAGACAAGTGTTCAGTATGGACAGATATATTCAAAGATATATGTGAAGAACATGTGCCAAAAAGAAAAGTTAAGCGCCGACGACAAACATTGCCATGGATCAGCGGTGCATTGAGACACAAAATGAACAGGAGATACAAGGCTTTGCAGAAAGCAAAGAAAGAAAGAAACAACGAAGGACTGTGGAAAGAATACCGGAAGTTGAGGAATGAGGTGACAGCAGAATTAAGGAGAGCTAAATCAACCTACTTTGCGGAGCTTGCAAATTGTCAAAAAATAAACACACGGAAGTATTGGAAAATTCTAAATCGAGCCAGTGGGAAGGAATCAAACATGAAGACCATTCGTGCGATTAAGTCAGATACTGGCGCATTGGTCACAAATGATAGAGAGATAGCAAATATATTGAATAAGCATTTCGCAACTACAGGAGAAAAGTTAGCAGGTCTCTTAAACAGCCACTACGTGCCAACAGTAGAGCTCATTGATCGAATATCCCCAACCGTTATGGAAATTGAAATACAGGAAGAGAATGTAAAAGAGAACTTGTTAAGGCTCAATACACATAAAGCGACTGGCCCAGATAACTTGCCACCGATTTTGCTGAGAGCCGCTGCCGAAGAAATTGCACCATCATTGACAGATATTTTCCAAACAAGTGCAAGGACTGCTACTCTACCCAGTTTGTGGAAGGTGGCAAGAATAGCAGCAGCACATAAAAAAGATGATGAGACAGACAGAGATAATTATAGACCATCATCCATGCTGTGCACCCCAAGCAAATTAATGGAGAAGGAAGTACACAAAACCTTAGTTAACCATATTGATATCAATCCTGGTTTACTAAATCCAAATCAGTGGGCATACAGGAAAAATAGTTCAACGGAAGCACTGTTGTTACATAGGACAGAGATATGGAGGAAAGCAGTCGACAGCAATAGAGTGGTGGGAGTTGTCTTCATCGACTTTAAGAAGGCTTTTGACTCTGTCCCTCATCACCAACTACTGCTAAAGTTACAGCGCGCGGGCATCTCTGGAAATTTGTGGTTGTGGATCCGAAACTACCTCTGTAACCGACGCCAATTCACTAAAATAGGACTGTGCGAAGTGAAGTGAAGTGGGTAAAAAAGTCAAAATCTCTAGGAGTGACTTTGGACAATAAGCTGAAATGGAATGGACACACAGAAAATGTCAAACTTGCATTCGTCAGGAAATTAAATTTGTTAAAATCAATGGGTTTCCTTCCAAAACATATGCTGGAAGATTTTTACTGGAAAGTAATCTTTCCATCCATAACATACTGCATTCTTGTTTGGGGAAACTGTGGTAAAACACATTTCAAAGCCTTGGAAAGGTTGCACACAAGAGCCGCACGTGATCGATCTTAGCGGTGTCAAGTAAATGGGGAATTTTACACGTTAAAATATCTAAAATATGGAGCTCCCCAGGGTCATAGATTGTACCATTTGTTTTGTAATATGTATTTTCTATTCGTAGTTCTTAATATTATTAGTGATTTTGTATTTTATATATTTTTGTAACATAAATTATCTACGCCCCACTTGGAAAGCAGCTCCGGTTGAAGTGGCCAGCGTAATCAAAGTTTCATCCTATCCTTTCCTACGAGTATGCGTAATCGTAATACTTGATGTGATCGGTCACTGAAAACTGAAAAGGGGGAATGGGGAGTGAGCTGAATAATAATGTAATGTAAAGATAAAGATTATATTCCTATGTTTTCCTGGCCGAATTTGTTTCTTGCTGTTGTTAGGCTCAATAACAAAGTATTTTGGAACCCTACTAGCGCAAAACATAAGTAAGTATTTGACACGAAAACGAGACCATTAACAAACGTTTGTCTTGGTTTGCCGGGCAGAGAAACCTGATGCGTAATTAGCCCATTGTATAAATTATGCGATGGTATCCAGTCTTCAAGAGCTGTCTAGCATAATGCAATGAACAAGTCAGTTAAATCACACTCATATCTGTTCGAAATCCAATAAGTTGCTGCTTTTTCGATAATGGCAATAACCTGCAGCAGGGCTTACAGTATAAGCGCCCTGCCTGCAGCGAGTATATATAATTTTAACTACTGGTCAATATATGGAAAGTATTAATTAAACTCAAGATTTGAGATAATCGACTTTTAAAGTTTACATTCTACCGCAATCTCGTACCCAGAGCAATGCCTGTGCGCGGGCTAGGATGGCATTGGCTCTGGGGAAATTGAATTTTTCTTGTGCTGTGATTGGTTTAACGTTTGTCAATCGTGCATGCCGACAAAGAACCGGAACCCCTAAATTTAGGGGTTCCGGTTGTCAATTTCCCCAGAGCCAATGCCATCCTAGCCCGCGCACAGGCATTGCTCTGGGTAGGAGATTGATTCAACCGCGGAGGCAACCTCGTTCCCAGGGCTTCAGTGTGAGGACGAGGCGAGACACGAGAAAGCCCTGGTCTGGGCCGGTCAATTTTGCATTCTGATTGGCTAACACCCATATTGTCTAAAAATACTGAACTTGACAGTTGACAATAACAATTCAAAATTTGTATTTTTAGGATTCTTGTGTGTACGAGTATGCATATTTTGCGAAATAATCCTTCAAAGTAAGACGTTTTCCCGTTTGCGTGATTTACTTTCGACTCGGCCGGTTACAAAACTCAAAAGCCGTGTCGAAGTGAGCTGTGATGTTTCCTGACAAAACAAGAAACGTCTACTATTATTTAAGCTGTAGTTTTCCTTGTACAGTATTTATTAGTGCAGATGTCTGATGAAATACTACGCGTATTGCATTGTAGTAATATTTTAATTTACAATATTCTGTACTGACAAATAAAAGCAAGACAAACAATTAAATGAAACTACTAAATTAATTTAGCCCCCCTAGCCCCTGTTTACTTTACTGTCTACGCCTAGGCCGATGTAGTCTCTACAAGATTCGCACGCCACCGAGTTTTACAGTTTCAGAATACCCCGAATACTTGAAAATTGCGACTATATACGATAAAAAAACCCCAAAGATTGTGAAGGGGATAAAATTTGTAGGCAAGCATTGCTCCTGAACGGCAAGTGTTGGTGTCCGGCGAAACAAGCGAATCTGTATCACAGAATAAGGCACACAGAAGGGCCACTTACGTTGGAAGCTTTGAAGTTTCTGTCACCCTGACCGCCATCTTCCTAGCCAGTCGATTACATTTTCTGGCCAATAAACGCGCTGTATTGGCTGAAGGCCCCGCCTTCTGGCCAGTCAACTGCATATTTTTGCATAGAAAAATGGCGACACGTTGCACCGCTGAGCGGCCCTTCTGGTACTGATCTTTATTCTGTGTCTGTATATTCCTGTACAGCGTATTAAAACAGGTATTAATACGCGAGGTTTTATATTGTGTTTATTTATATTGAACTAAGTCAGATCTATAAGAGCATATTTAAACTAAATATTAATTATAGCAATAGCCATATTGTTCAAGACGAGAGAAAGGAAATTTCGTGTGAATCACCACTTGCCTAGATGCAGCTTGGATGCAGTTTGCCTGTAGTTGAAAATCTCCAGAAATATTGGTATATCTTAGAAAACATAGACGAGATCTTCATAGATTTCAGCTGATTCGTGCCAAACGTCGCTCTACACATAAATAATATCGATTGAGAAGTCTTTTGGCTATTTATTTGTTTCGAAGACTTATATATATTTCATTAAAGAATATCTCGCCACTCCTTGACGAGTAGCTGTCAAATACTACCATTTTTTGGGTAGACACGTGACCGGCCCAGACCAGAGCTTCCTCCATCCTCGTCCCCAAGGCCTCTCGGCCGCGTGCGTCCTCCCTAGGCCCTGGGACACACGGAACCGGAAGTGCAAGAAAACTTGCAGTAGTTTCTAAAGCGCATGCTCTTGAATTGGGACACTTTAGCACCCGTAAGAATTTTCACAGTGAAGTATTAAGAAGAAACGAAGTATTTGTGTTGACATATGTTGATAGAATAATTTTGCCCAGCGAAAACTGCTCAACTTCTGCGAAATAGCAGTTCTCTGAGAAGCCAATCAGGTCTCTTCCTTTAGTCGTCTATCCCAGAGCCTAATTTTCAACGAGTGACCGAGTGAAAATGGCTCTGGGGACGAGAATGGGGCT